CCCAGGGAGCCTGCTTCTCCCTCCCCCTCTGCCCTTCCTCCCTGCTTTTGTGCGCTCACACTCTTTCTCTCTCAAATAAATAGATAAAATCGCTAAAAAAAAAAAAAAAAAAAAAAAAGAAGAAGAAAAGACTGAACCTCTTCCTAAATCCAGGAAGTTTTAGTTGTAATGCATTTTCCTCAACAAAGGTCCAAAAAGTATATCAAAAGTGCCTGATGCAGTGACTGGCAGTGTTTAATAAAAATGAATGCCCCCATCTTAAACTCTTTTATTTGTCACACATATAGGGCACTTAAGAAGTACATGTGGTACTATACAGTCTCACTCAGAACTAGAGCAATAGTTTCTAGAGGCAAAATTTAAGCTTAAAAATAAAAAGTAAAGTTTCTAAAACTTGCTCTTCTTTATATTCTACTAAAACACCTGGCATGGTCCTAAACATACATTAGGCATTAAAAGAAAAAAAATCTGTCAGACTGAAGAAAGTATTTATTATATTGGATTAGCCTTGGTCATCCTCAAAGGAGCAAGAGTTCTGAAGTACACACGAGGAACACAGTTAAGGGATGAGGCCAAGACAAAAGTAGCCTTACCTTTACATCTGGCACCTGGGCACCAAGGCTGCTGAGTCCCACGATGGAGTAGAAAGCAGATTCCAAACTTGTGAAAGGGCGGTCCAGTGAGGCTTTCAGTCTCTCAACATCCGGCTTGGTGAGGTAGTGAGTGGGCGTCAGAGCCTGGGTGCTGGCTATGATTGTCAGGGCCAACAGGAAGACAGTGCTTGAACCTTGGGGGGAAATGACTATTAAATACGATTCAAACAATTCCCAAGTTCTATATACAGTGCCAATGATGGTGTGCACCAAGGTCTGGGAACCAAATCATGTAAGGGGGAGGGAACTGGGAGAAGTCCTAGGAAAGTGGTGGGCACTGTCTTCATCCATCTGAAAGACTGTCCTCCCAGTAGCCTCTGTGTTGCTAAAGCACAGGACCCATCATGCCATTCCCATTCCAAGTACGTTTGTAACTCCTATGCCTCTAACACAGGCCCAATCCTGAATCCTCACCATGGCCTCGCCTGCCTCTCACCAGATCTCTTCCCTCATTCTTCTTTCCATCTGTGGCTCTCTGGACCCCTCTCTGTTCCTTTAACAAGTCATGTTCTACCCTACCCAGTACTTTTTCATGCTTTCCCTTACTTCAACTTTTTTTTATTCTCCGATTTCAGTTCAAGTATCTCTTCCTCAAGAAGTCTCCCCAACTGCCCTTCCTCAGGTTAGGTCCCCAGTACTATAAAACACTGAAGAATGTGACCTCTGAGGCCAGGTTTAAATCCTAGATTTGCCCACGTGCCCAGGTGGCTCAGTCAGTCAGTGAAGTGTCGACTCTTGGTTTTGAATCAGGTCATGATCTCAAGGCTGTGAGACTGAGCCCCCCCGTCACATTCTGCACTGGATATGGAACCTGCTTGGGATTCTCTCTCTCCCTCTCCCTCTGCCCCTCCCCTGCTTGTGCACTCTCTAATAAATACATACATACATACTTTGAAAATAAGTAAATAAATAAATCCTAGTTCTGCCATTTATTAGCAATATGGTTGTGGCACTTACAATGTAGCCAGTCCGTCCTCAGTTTCCTCAAGTGTAAAGTGGGATAATAACAGTACTGACCTCAGGAGTGTAATGAGGATTACATGAGCTAACATAGAAAGATCTTATAACAGTGGCTTATAACACGAGCTACATAAATCTTCACTACTTCTATTACCATCACTATTGTTATTGCTGTGTCCATGCATATAGCAACCTGCACTTCTTCTACGTAGTCTCTTTCACAATTAATAGGGTAATGTCTGATTCCTCTGCTAAACTATAAACTCCATGAGGATAGACAGTTTCTTCTGACATCCCAGTATTTCCAAGTACTAAACACTGCTTGGCAGGTATTAGTACTGAATTAATATCTGCTAAATAAATGAAAAATTAATCCTTGTCTATTATGCTCCAGGAGACAGGAAGCAGTTATGAGTGGTCCATTCTATGGGCTGCTTTATGAATCGACTGCCATATAATTAACAGAACAGTATCCACCACCCCCCGCCCCACCACCAGCTTATCCATACTCTTCACCGTTTCAGTTACCCATGTTCAACCATGGTCCAGTATTGTCGGGTCAGTAGTAGCCTAATGCTACATCACAATGCCTATGTCAGTCACCTTCATCTCATCATGCAGACATTTTATCACGTAAGCATCTGTATCAAGAAGGGTGAGTACAGGGGCGCCCGGGTGGCTCAGATGGTTAAGCGTCTGCCTTCGGCCCAGGTCATGATCCCAGGGTCCTGGGATCGAGCCCCACATCGGGCTCCTGGCTCAGTGGGGAGCCTGCTTCTCCCTCTCCCTCTGCCTCTCTCCCTGCTCGTGCTCTCTCTCTCTCTCTCTCTGTATCTCTTTGTCTCAAATGAATAAATAAAAAAAATCTTTAAAAAAAAAAAAAAAAAGAAGGGTGAGTACAGTACAAGATATTTTGAGAGACCACATTCACATGACTTTTGTTACAGTATATTGTTAATAATTGTTTTTATTGTTATCATTGTTAATCTTTCTGTGCCTAATTTATAAATTAAATTTTATCATAGGTATGCATGTATAGAAAAAAACACAGTATATATAAGGGTTCAGTACTATCTGCAGTTTTAGGCATCCACTGGGGATCTTGGATAGTAAGCCCTGCAGATAAGGGAGCTCTACTGTAATCACAAGGCTAACGGTAGTAGTCCTAAATCCTCTGCCCATAGTGTCAAATTTAGTTTGAACTAGAATCCCTTAAGAAAGGCATTATTAGGGGGCTCCTGGCTGGCTCAGTCAGTGGAGCCTGCGACTCTTCATCTTGGGGTGTGAATTCAAGCCCCACAAGGGGCAGAGAGATTACTTTAAAAAAAAAAAAGCATCATTATATCTATTTTACAAGTAAGAAAAGTGAGAATGAGAGTACCTTGCAGACGATCTTGGATTCACTCAAATCTAACAGTTTACACTCCGCTATTTTGGGGGGATTGTTGTAGAAACAATGCCTATATTAGCGGTAACTCAGAATTGTTCTTCTACGAGTGCTAGTTCTATTTAAATCCTTCTTTGTGTGTTAAATAATCTAAAGAATGTGGAAGTTCTTTTTAAAACACTAGAAAGGGGGGCACCTGGGTGGCTCAGTCGGTTGAGTGTCTGCCTTCAGGTCAGGTCATGATCCCAGGGTCCTGGGATCGAGCCCTGCATTGGGCTCCCTGCTCAGCGGGAAGCCTGCTTCTCCCTCTCCCACTCCCCCTGCTTGTGTTCCCTCTCTCGCTGTGTCTCTGTCAAATAAATAAAGAAAATCTTTTAAAAATAAATAAATAAATAAACAAAACACTATAGTGTTTATAGCGATCTATAGTGTGGAGTATTCAATTATAAAATATTTATTGAATGCTTACCAAGCACTATTTTTGGTATTAAAAATAAAGCAGGAAACAGAATTAAAAAAAAAACAAAAACCCAAACCTCATAAAGCCTACATTCTAGTCAGAAAAGAAAGATATCACACAACACAATTAAGAAACATTATTTATGGGGCGTCTGGGTGGCTCGGTCAGTTAGGCATCTGCCTTCAGCTCAGGTCATGATCTTGAGGTCCTGGGATCAAGCCCTGCATCGGGCTCCCTGTTCAGCAGGGGCCTGCTTCTCCCCTCTCCCTCTGCCCCTCATCCTCCTCATGCTATCTCTCTCGTGCTCTCAAATAAATAAAATCTTAGAAAGAAAGAAAGAAAGAAAGAAAGAAAGAAAGAAAGAAAGAAAGA